AGACTGAAGGTGAGGGGCAGGAGGATTAGAGGGGGATGTGAGGAATAACTCCCCCTTGGTGGAGGGAGGGGGGGGACCGGGAGCTCGCTGCCTGGGAGGGTGGGGGGGAGAGACAGAAACCCTCAGAACGTTGGAGAAGGATTTCGATGTGAACTTGGGACACTGAGGCTGTGGGCCAGGCACTGGGAAAGGGGGCTAGAAATAGTGAGGTGGCTGTTTCTGACCAGCACAGACTCAATGGGCCAAAGGGCTTATTTTTGTGTTGCAGACCTCTCCGAGTCTATGCCGTCAAATTCCTCCTTCTGCTCTCCCCCTGACTTATGAAGGGTTTTCAACAGAAACCAGAAAACCCCAGGCCTGTCAGCCTGATGTAAGTTCTAAGGGATTTCCTGCAATCATTTCCTGACAACAGAAATGGCAGAAAGCCAAAGCAGCAGGAACTAGCTGGAGACTGAGTAAAACCTCTGAGCAGCTCATTGCATTTGGCTAATACCCAGTCGAACCTTAGGGAGGGTGTGGCCCGAGCGATGGGTGTTATCCATGTGGACTTTGACAAGGTATTCGCTGAGACATCCAACTCCCAGGAGAGGTTAGCAGTGAAACTGAAAATGCAGGCGACATGTGTGGTGGTTTCAAAATTGGCTGGGGAAGCCAGCAGAGTGAGGGTCTCAAGGATAGCGCCTCTGAGCGAGCTTGTGGTGTTCCAGCTCTGTAGCTGGGCACATGAGGGTACAGCGCCTGCCTGGCAGTCTGGGCGCAGGACCAGAGAACTGCTGCTCTGTTGGCAGTACCATCTCTTGGCTGTGACATTCAACAGAATACCTGCCTGTACATCCTGCTGAGTGACCGGACATGGTGTCTGTTACAGAAGGGGTACCAACCATTGGGTATTTTCCAATCAATCTGTTTGGAGATGACGTTACACACCTCTGGGGCAGGTGGGGCTTGAACCTCGGCCTCCTGACTTGGAGGCAGGGACGCTGCCACTGCACCTCAAGAGCCTTGAACAGATTGTTCTCACTTTGTTGTTTGGAAGGCCCAGCTGAGCTCCAATTAGCTTCTGACACAACAGACATCAGCTCCAACTCCCTGTGAGCATCCTGGAGCCCTCAGAGGGTGACAAAATGTGTTTGTTTTTTTTAATTTACTCTCAGGGCGTGGGCATCACTGGCCAGGCCCAGCATTTCTTGCCCATCCCTAGTTGCCCTTGAGAACAAAGAACACAGAACAGTACAGCCCCTTTGGCCTGGGATGCTGTGCCAAACACGACACCAAGTTAAACTAATCCCTTCTTGGAATCATAGAATCCCTACGGTGTGGAAACAGGCCCTTCGGCCCAACAAGTCCACACAGACCCTCAGAGCATCCCACCCAGACCCATCCCCCACCTAACCTACACATCCCTGGGCACTACGGGACAATTTAGCACGGCCAATCCACCCTAACCTGCACATCTTTGGACTGTGGGAGGAAACCGGAGCACCCGGAGGAAAGCCACGCGGACACGGGGAGAATGTGCAAACTCCACACAGACATTCGCCTGAGGGTGGGATCGAACCCAGGTCCCTGGTGCTGTGAGGCAGCAGTGCTAACCACTGAGCCACCGTGCCGCCCCTTCTGCCTGCCCTTAGCCCATATCCCTCCATTTCTCACATATGTGGACATGTGCTTATCTAAAAGCCCCTTAAATGCCCCTATTGTATTTGCCCCCACCCCCCCCCCCTGGCAGTACGTTCCACACTCCTACCACTCTCTGTGTAAAGAAACATGCCCCACACATCTCCTTTTTAACTTGCCCCCCCCCACCATCTTAAATACGTGCCCCCTAGTATTAAACATTTCAACTCTGGGGAGAAAGATTCTGACCATTAACCCTCTCTATGCATCTCACAATTTTATAGATTTCTATCAAGTGTCCCGTCAGCCTCCGAACCAAATTTATAAAGTTGCAACGTTGCTTCCTGACTTCCTGAGAAGGTGGGGTTGGGGATTGGGTGGCGGGTGGTGGTAAGCTGCCTTCTTGATCTGCTATGTGCTGCAGTTAGACCCACAATGTCCCTTTAGGGAGGGAGTTCCAGGGTTTGGAACCAGCCACACTCTCCCATGAAAAAAAATAGGGCAAGAGACAGAACGCCTGTCGAATGATGACGGGCCAGTATCGCTGGCACAGGGCTGGGCTGAATGGTCTCCTCCTGTCCTTCTGGTCGAGCCAGAAGTGGCAGCTTCAGCTGAAACGAGATGAAGTTTTTGGCGCTGTGACATTAACGTGACGCTGTAATTGTGTTTCCTGTAAGTTTTGCTCTCTGTTTAACCAGGTGGAAGTTCTCTGGAAGTTCTCGGTAAAACAATATGATATCAGGCCCAGGTTTGGGTTGTTGTGCCCTGCAAAGCCTTGCCAAACACTCTGACACATGCCGCTCACAGCTGGCAGTTAATACCCATGGTGACACTTTGATCAACATCACACAAACCATGCATTTAACACGCATATTAACCCTCTCTGTCCTGGAGCCAGTTGTACAGTGGGTAGGTGCACTGAGGCCCAGGTGACTGGTACAGAGAGAGCTCCCAGTAATCAGAGTGCCCCGAGCCCAGTCATGGGATCAGCTCTGCGCAGAAGCTGCACCCGACCTTGGAGGGTCTGACTCACAGCTGACAGTCTCACTCAGGCTGAAGGGGGAGTGTGGAGCGGTGGCAAGGGACTGGAAGGTGTCGGGGCGGGTGCTGCTTATAGCAGAGGCTCAAGGATGTGACAGAGGATCCAAGTCAGAGTTCAAGAGTTAAAATAACAGAGTGAAAGGAACAGAGTCACAAGGTCAGAGTAACAGAGTTAAAGTAACAGTAACAAGTCACACACACATATACTCACACACTCACACACTCTCAAGCACACGCACACACACACATACACTCTGTCTCCCCCATACACACACACACACACACAGACACACACACACACACATACAGACACTCTCTGTCTCCCCCATACGCACACACACACACACAGACACTCTCTGTCTCCCCCATACACACACACACACACACACAGACACTCTCTGTCTCCCCCATACACACACACACACATACACTCTGTCTCCCCCATACACACACAC